TTTTTTTTTTATTATTGTACTTAGGTTGTCAATGTATTTAACTTGTGGAAGACAATGCTAATCGACCAATCCAGTGAAAGCTACCCCCACATTGCAGCCAGAAGTGAGCCAATTGAAGAAGATTAAAGTTTATGTATGAGCTTATTCAGCCTAGTTGTGTCTTTAAAAATCACTATTACATTACCAGTATGTCAATCGTTGGCAGCTACGTGTATTATGATAGTACTTGTTAAGAATTCAGAATTGCTGTTTCTTTACTTTATCTCTCTTTCCATCAAGAAAAATATTTTCTTCTAACTAAAAAATCTCATGCAGGAGCCCAAAGTACTACTGCACAAGACCCGACCATTGACCAGTCAAACTCCACCTGATAATTTTATGAGAGGAAAATGAACCAAGGTGAGAGCTCAACCGGACTATTCTCCCCACCGCTAAAGCGTAGACGCGGGCGCCCACCCAAGGACCCGAGCCTCAAACGCCCCTCCCTTGGACATGTGCATTCTGACTCGGACCGGGCCATCCAGAACCTACCCCCGAGGCCTGGTCCAGCCGATAATCCGGATCCTGCGGTGGGCCAAGCTGTGACAGGCGTTGTTGAGGCTGCTCTCGATGCAGGTTACCTCCTCAACGTCCGGATCGGCAATTCCCCTGCCACTTTCCGGGGCATAGTCTTCAAGCCGGGCCACTATGTGCCCGTCACCAAAGAAAATGACGTCGCTCCACATCTCCAGATGATAAAAAGAAATGATGTCCGTGTCCCTGCCTCGACCGATGGGCCCGCGCCCCTCCAGAAGCGGAAGTATACATCCCGCCGGGCCACGGGCCCACCCCCTCCCTTGCCCACCATCCACCCCGTGGGCGAGAGGGGCCACGTGGTGCCTGTCGTGCTCAAGCAGCCCATGGACCACAACTATCCTAATGGGCTTCCGGGCCAGGTGCTGGACTTCGGCGGGGACAAGGACGTGCACATGGTGGAGCCGCTGTCAATGCTGCCTCCTGACCGGAGGCAGATATTCGTTGGCGGGCAGCCACAAGGTAGCCATCCTGTTCCTCCTGCACAAGTTGGTAGCAAGGAGGATGAGAAGGGACTGTTTGGTGAGGGGGAAAATGCAAGGTCTGAGGGGCTGGAGTCTAGCGATGCCGAAATTGGGGGATCCTCGGATACCTCAGATTCACAGTACGAGAACGGGAAGGAGTTTATGAAGTCTCCTTTGGAAGAAGGTGATTCAGGTGCTGTCACAACTCATGAAACTGGAAATTGCGATGAGCGCTTTCCAAATGAGACCTTGCAGAATGTATCTGCCTTCAGTTATGCACCTGGGAGGATGACTGAGCTTTTGCAGGTAAATACACGTCTATGTTGATAGTTATCGATAATTTCGAAAATGCTCTTCGGGTTGTGTTTGTTTTGTTAAATTACCTGTTTTTCATTGATGCCTTTTATAGGGGTTAGATGTATGTTTTGTAGGCTGTGCACATGAAAGAGAACCAGGTGCAATTTGCTGAGCAACCGATTCCTGGAGCGAAAATCGATCTTCGTGAGACGATGAACACAGAAGTTGACCCCAAAAGTGGATCAAGTGGTCCTTGATTTGATTGAGCCACAAACTTATGTTCTTGCTGATGCCTGTGATCTTTTTCACTATGTAGGGATAGTTTGTAATATTTTTAATTGTTAGTTGCAGTTGAAGACTGGTGGGGATTCTATGTTTGTCTGCGAGAGAGGTTTAGATAATTTTCAAAAGAGCAGCGGGTTTATGCTGTTAGGTGAATTGTTTCTTTTTAAAGTATGTTATAAATGCAAATGGTGTTGGACATCTTTTACCACCATTTTGTAGTGGTTAACCCTGCTTTACGGATGGACGCATTTTGGTCTTGGTGTGGCAATCTTAGTTCCCGGGTTCGGAACTGTCGGTTTAGGTTCGCATTTTATGTGAACCACTGTCGGTTTAGGTTCGCATTTTATGTGAACCGGAATTGGCCTTGGTATATATTTGGTTGGTTTAATGGCGGGTAATAGTTTAGAACCAGTCCACGGTTTAGGTTCGCATTTTATGTGAACCGGAATTGGCCTTGGTATATATATGGTTGGTTTAATGGCGGCTAATAGTTTAGAACCAGTCCATGGGTTTCGGGCTGAATTGGCAAATTAATAAAAATAATCAAAAATTTAATAATTCATAAAATAAAAGAAAAAAAAAAAAAATTTATATTTGCAGAATCGTCGGTTTTGTTCAGAACCAGTCGTCGGTTCAATTATTGAAAAAAACATTAACCTGATTCGACTTGGATAAATCCACGGGTCGGTTCAAGGACCGCAGTTAATTATTTGACCGGGTAGGTTCGAATCGAGGTCATGTCTAGACATTGTCATTTCATCTGAATGACAACTGACTTTAGATTATGATGTAGAACTCAGAATAGCTCGAATAACCGGACTGAGTGGTTAGCTCGGGGTAGGTCGGTTAGACAAGCTCCATCTCGCTAAGAAGAAGTTAACCCACTCAAGGAGCTCGCAGACCTAGCTCAAGGTACTGGTCGACCTGATAAGATTACCTGGAGGCGCAGCCTCTAGGAGCTCGAGTAGGAAGAATGACCTTAAGATGTCGAGATGTCAGGTTAAGAGGTCAGGAGTTGACCTCAGCCAAGTTACAACAAGAAGGTCAGGAGGTCGTGGTTAAGACCTGGGGACCTAAGAGTTGTGTGGTAAATGGGGAAAGAATCCTAGTAGGATGGAAAATATAGCTTGCTAAGGAGACTTGCTTGGATAGAGATGTGGCAAGTAAAAAATGAAGATCTAGTTGAATCTCTTTCTTAACAAGCTCTCTTGGCATCAAGACACTTACCCTATATAAGGATAACCAGGTTCTATGTAACATCATTCACACATTTACATATTACGCATATACTTTCAGCTTATTCTCTTGAACAAGGTTTGACTTGAGCATCAGAATGTCTACATTGGAACCCCCTCCTGACACATTGCAGGTCACCACAGCTCGAGGTAGGAGTACGTTCCAGGATCGATCGGTTAAACTCGGTATTCTTGACCGTTGAAAAGAGTTGTTCCTCGATCTGTGGTAAATTGACAGATCAAATTAGCGTCGTTTAAGGGACAAATTTATTCTTTTACCGGCTATAAGAGGCTTGTCGGATTCTCACAAACAGTCTTTCTTTAAGAAACTCAGAAGACCAGAAAATCATGGCAACAGACAACTCTAAAAAAGAATTTTCTGAAGGACTTGGATGAGGCTTGGACGCCCTGGATTTTGGGTCAGGACCTCCACCGGGGTGGTCGAAGTTAGGGGTATGCTTATTACGCCTCAGGAAACATTGTCAGTGCTGCAAATGGCGTTGACTCCGGTAGAAAACACATCAGAGGGAACCCCAGTGCACAAAGAGCTGACAGTCCATCAACATAGTACAGAAACACCAAAAGGACATGGACAAGGACAAAGAGCGTCACAAAAACAACAAAGCCGACAGTTGTTCAAACAGGTCAAACTACATAAAAATATTATTACTATTTTTTTTTTTTACATTTTTATGTATAATTATTATTTGCTTTTAGCCAAAAATATAAAAACATAAAAAAATATTATAAAATATTAAAATGTCAATTTTGTTTCATTTAATTACAAATTTGACCCTTGGGTTAGACTACAATATATTGAAATTTATAAAATTGCAATTAGGTCCTTGTGTCTTGTCAAATTTTCAAAAAACATCCCTCCTTATTTCTCCTCCGCTGCACACATACATGTTTTCAGCCACCGGCGGTGCCGACTTGGGGTCGGGCAACCTAGACTCGTCACAGAGCGTCATGATCAGGTCGAGCAGGAGCCACGAGGCTGCCTCGTTCTCCGCCTCAGAGGCCTCTTCGCCGGCGCCGCCTGCGGATGAGGATGTGGGGGCGGCAATGCCGCAGGTGATCTTGACGCCTGACGGGGACTCGCTCGTAGCGGCGGGCACGAGGGTGGCTGCGTGGATGCCGGCGTCTCAAGCGCAGCATATCATGACCGACGTTGGCGGGCGGCAGGGATGGTCTCGACAGTCGATGACGATGATCTCGGCGGCGACATGATTGGCGATGCTTGTAGCGGCCGACGACAACGTTCAATTTTTGTGTGTGTGAGTGTGTGTGTGCGTGTGTGCGTGTGTGTGTGTGTGTGTTATGTATGAGTGCGTAAGGTGCGTGTGTGTGTACAAGTGTGAGTGTAAGTGTGTGAGAGAGAGAGTAGCGTATAATGTCTGATTCACCCCTAGTTAGTGGTCCAATGTTTATATTTAACCATGCTATGAACAATTATTTACGAGAATGTCACCCGTAGTTGATTCCCACTTATTATATTTTGACTTGATCATGACCGTTGGTTTGATGGATCCAATGGTTCAGAATCATTTTTATCTCTTTCACTATCACCCTCCCTCTTATGATACTACCTCTATATATATGAAATATATAAGGAAATTTGCTAGTTAGTCAAAATTTGAGTTCAAATTTAAAAATCAAATAAATAATTATTCACAACTTAAGGGTCAATATTAACTTGGACTTATAAGACGGTCGTGCGATGGGGTGGTCGGCGGTGGGCTGGGCTAGGCATTCACGACCACATCTCCTTGTCGGTGACTCACACCCATTTCCAAGTTGTGAGGCCACGACGGCGGCGACTCTGGCCGGATAAGATGGCTGGGCAGTGGGGTAGTCGGCGGCTAGTGGCGGGCTATAGCCAACAAGGTGTGTATATTCTATGTGCGTGTGTGATGACAATATTTTTTTTTTTTTTTTAAATGATTGGGTGTTGGGGCTTTGTGATGAGGTTCAGACAATTTGTATGGGTTGTTGTGCAATTTTCACAACTTCTGTTAGTTTTAATTTTAATAGTGGGAATGATCTTTGTAATTTATCAAAAATTTAATATATTGCACATTAAAATACATGATACGCACGAAATCACGAATTTACATGCACATTATAAAAACCGTTAACATTTTTTATAAGATAGTTATTAATTGGTCGGATCATCGACTGGTTTGGTTTAATCGACCGAGAGGATGTCGAAACTGGAATAATAGAAATAAATATTATTTGTATTATAAAAATATAATTATTGTTGTAATGATTTTTATTTAATAATTTATATTAAGAAATGTAATATTCTATATAAACCAAATATAATGTACACTGTAATCGCTATTAATATGTGAATCTTATAACGCAGCGGTGCACGGTGTCGATCGGTATTGCGTATATTGATTCGAACGAACTTTTGTCCCAAAATAAATTGAAACTGAACTAAATTATTTTGTTTATTCGGTTGGTCAACTGAATTATCTTAAATAATTGAAATAATTTATTATTTGTATTAAAATTATATTCAGTATGTTACTATTTATATCTATTAGTTTTATATTATTTTTTATTGAAAGATAAAATGTACGAGATCTCGAGCTCGATTAAGTGCAAGAACCGAACTCTATAAAGTGACACATACATAGATGTGCATCTAATATAACATTATTCTGCAATTGTATTGCTGTTACGTTTAATAAATTGTCCCAAACCATGTCGCGTTTACTTATTTCTCCCAAGTCATACTAAAACCGAACCAAAATAATCGGGATATGTGTTCAGTTAACCGAATTAAATTACACAATTGAAATGAAAATATTATTTATGTTATGAAATGTATTTAGTATATAATTTTTATTTAATATTTAATTACTTTGTTGGTAAAAATATCTACTATGTATATATATATATATTTATATATATATTATAGATTTTTTATATATTTCGGTCGATTTATTATTTTTAACGACAATGCTGACATCAAATCGATAACTAAAATTAAAAACTAAAAATACATAACATAATCGACATATAAAAAATCGAATAAAAAATTTAGACCGGTTAGTTTCTTTCGCTATGGTGCAATCTATCGATAATTAATGTGCATTTCGTATAAAACTATTTTGCCATCACATGACTTTATATTTAATATGGTTAAATACAATATATTGTGCATTTTTGTTACAATAAATATTCATTTATTGAAGTTTTTATAAATTACAGATTTGACACATGTATCAAATTGAAATATAATCAAAATTTATTATATTGCAACCAAGTCCTTTAAAATTATCCACTTCTAAAAAAAATGCCCTAAACCCATAATCATCTTCTACCCTACCACCCGCCTGCTCCGGCAGCCACGCCGGCCAACAGCGTCCAACATCGAAGCTTACGGCGTCCTTGTTGTCGTTCTCCACGTACATTATCCCGTCGTCCCATCAGGGCCGATGAGGATTTTTCAAAAAAAAA